GGGAGGAAGCACGGTCGTAAAATCCAGGAAGGTAGTGACAGATATTAAAACAGCACGGCGACCCTGGAAGGTAATACGGCAAGATTAGTGTGAGAGGAAAGCGAGGTTCGAGGGAGCCAGTGCGTTTAATTCGCCAGCCTGTAAGACACTAGTGTTGGCAAGAGCCAGCCGTGCAACACAAAAGCACTGTGTTCCTCCAGAAACCTAACACGGTGGTTTCTTTTTCAATGCAGACAGATAGCAATCTCTCGCTTTCTGTCTCTACCACTCGGCATTTCACTTAGATATGCACATTTGTGTCTTTTATGGTGGGGACATGTAAAACAACATATTCGAACAACTAGTTGGTGGGTTTAGTCTGTTTTAAGGAAGCACTGAATGACTAAAATGGTTTCAGGTTCACCTGGTCCTGATCATAAGGCACATATTTGTGCTAGATAGAAAGCAACAAAAAGTATACTTTTATCTAACAATCGAAAGTGACATTAAAGACATTTATAATGTTACAAAAGATTTCTATTTTAAATAAATGCTGTACTAATAAACTAAAGAATCCTGAATCACAGTTACCACAAAAAATATTCAAGCGCGAAATGTTTTAGAATTTTTTGAGCAGCGAATCAGAATTTTAGAATGATTTCTCAAGGATCATGTGACTCTGACTAGGGCTACGTCCACATTAATCCGGATACATTTGAAAACGGTTTTCGTTTAAAAACGTTTTCAGGCATTTTCCAACGTTTCAGTGTGGATGAGAAACTTCTAAATTTACTTTACTGAGCATGCGTGAAACTTCACAAAAGCTCACTGAGATGATACAGATGGGAAAATAAATAATAATGTTATCGCACAATAACAGGATAATTTTATTTAGCAAAATATCTCACCATCACTGATGTGTCCAGGTCGCATTCAGTCACCAAATGTTTGGTCTAAAACGCAACTGCTCTCCTGTTTTGCCGCAGGACAGCAAATGTAAGTACATTATCTGTCATCTTTGCAGTACTGAGCTTTAAAGAATAGCACATATTAAGTAACATAGAAAGTAACATATTTTAGCAATAGTGTAAAAATGAATAACATAACAGGCACAATACCGATAAACAAGAATATCTATTGGTACTACATGGATCACATGACAAAACTTACGTCATTGTTTTCAAATACCTCCAGCTTCACTGTTCACACTACAACGCGAAAACGGCGTTTTCAAACTTATCCATTTTGGAGAGCGTTTTCCAAACGATACGTTTATGTTGACTTAAAACGCCGTCTCAGTGTGGACAGAAGGCCAAAACGGAGAGAAAATACACGTTTTCAAACTAAAACGTATTAGTGTGGACATGACCTAGAGTATACGACTGCTGAAAATGCAGTTTTGCCATCACAGAAATAGTAAATAACATTTATCAAAACACTAAAAGATCATTTAAATTAACTGTGGATAATCAAATTATTTCATTATCTAATCCTCTGCCACCATCTTTAAAAAAAAAAGCACTTAAAAAAGTGACTTCCATCCCATGCACTCACATATTAAACAAAGATATGTTATACTCGCTCTGGCCGACAAATAATAGTCAAATTTATTGCCTCAGAGTCTGTTTCTTGTTCTTTATAGCTCTCCTGGACAGATAAACCAGTAAGGACTTGAACACAATTCATACAGCTTATTTAAAGCTTGGATACTTCTGGTCACTATCTGTTGCTCGGGAAGTGTAACTTTTCCGCCATCGGTCTTGCGCTCACTTAGACGAGAGGGGCATTTAATGTCAGATTCAAGCATGCCTCCACACTTGAGCCGTGAGGAAAAGGCAGGAGAAGTCATATTTCAGCTGAGATTTATGGGAGGAACTTCTCCACTTCGCCCGCTCTTTACGTCTCTCAGCAATTGAAATGAACAAATTGTTCTCCAAAGATGTGGTCGTGAGTGCTCAGGAAAGGGAATCGTTTTTATCGCTCTTGATGACGGCAACAAATCAATAGGTTTGAGGCACAGGAACACACACTCACAGACGGATATGATGACAGGCGGCTTGACATTTTCCACAACTTTACGAGACATTATGATCATAATCCAAACAAAAAGAACTGTGTCTTGAATCTTTTCAAAAAATGTCTGTTTCTGTCAGCCCCCCCCCCCCCCCTTTCTTCTGTTAGTCGGATACAGAGATGAAATCCCATGCCTCTCCAAGGCTATCAACACACATATACCTTCAGAATACATTGATCAAAATCACTCATGCTTAATTTAAATATAATGGAGAGCCTCTCCTGGATAAGGGAGGCTTAATTATAGCTCTCTCCTGTGAACTGTTCATACATTGACAGGCTTAATGCGAGGCTACTCTCACAAGCAATCTTCCCTGTCCAGGTTCTTGCCACCAATCATGCACACACTACAATTTGACTGCCTTAACATACGTCCCCTCACATCTGAGGAAATATGAAGAACGACTCCCTCCTCAGCCGCACGTCCACCTTCCTTTGTGTTGCTCTGATGGAACTTCAGATTGTTCCCGATATAATGTGACATCACACTGGAGCTTCGCAAGGTTCACGATTGTTTCATCACATTGACAAATGAATGGTTTATAAAGCAAGGACAATATCAGAGAATGATGTGAATTGACAAATGTTCTATATAGGTATTAGCTTGTCAGGAGAATGCTGTGCTGATTTAGAGGTACAACAGTACACTGCCCAAGACTAATTGAGAGTTTATCAATGTCTAGATGTGGCCAACACGTTCTCTGTGTGTGTCTGTGACTGTCACAATGACTGAGTTTAAAACTCAAGTTAGCTTCCAAGAAATTTAAAACAAAACAAAAACAACAACAAAAAAGAGAGAAAAGACGGTAAATACTTGAAAGTTGATAAAATCACATGTTCATATCTTCTTTTGAGTTCAGCAATAAAAATTAATTCAAAAAGGTTTGGGACAGCTTAAGGGTGAGTAAATGATGACAATGTAATTTTCATTTTTGGGTTTCCTTTTTAAAAAAAAGTATCCAAATGCCTGAATAAATGTAATGCATTTCAAACAAAATTATGGGTGTGAAAGTAAAAACTATTGATTTTTTTCTAACTTCATCCTAAGCATGGTTAAACAAGAATGGCAGTAAATAAAGAAATACGAAATAATTATTTTCGTTTTATAAAACGGTTAGTTCAAGACCTTGATTCCGATTGGTCAATAGCTGTGTTTTATTGAAAACATGAAAACATGTTCACCAAACAGTTCTATGCATCACCACACAACACCCCTAGCAACCACTATTAGCAACATAAACATATGTTTGTTCTCATTATGTATATTGTTCATTGAAGCTTATAGAGTAGAGTATTGTAAGAGATCAAGTGAGTGTAACTGCATTTACAGTATATAGCATTTTCTTTCAAGTCAGTCCTATATGCGTGATAAAACATCAGTTTCAATGTCTGCTGCGATATCTTGTCCTTTTAACAATTAAAGGGATAGTTCACTTTTGATATGTTTCAGCTTACCTCAAGGGCATCCAAGATGTAAGTGTCTTTGTTTCCACAGTATTTTCAATTTTGATATTTTTAGGTCAAACCGTTCTTGTCTCTCAGTCATATAATGGAGGTCTATGGGGTCTTCCTCAAAGAGCATGCACAGAGAAGTCTAAATTAAACATGATTTAATGACTCGTAAATGTAAGTACACATTGATGGCCTAAGACACGAAACGAGCGGTTTGTGTGAGAAAACGAACAGTATTTATATTGTTTTACCTCTTGTAACCACAGCCACGTCCAACTGATCTGAAGGCATGGGATCAATGCAACTTTTACTTCATGAAAGTTGCATTGATGCATATTTTGGGCTTTAATATTTGTATTGTGTGGTAACTGTTTTATAAAAGCATACTGGTTTGCATAGTGCCTAACAACGTCCTTCAGCCGAGACTTATTCAAAATAAAGCGCAGCCTTTGGTCCCTTTTGGCTTATGTGTAGCACTGCCTTGGTCAGCCTATGATATATTACCACCTACAATAGCAGTCATTTGTACTTTATGGATAGCTATTCATTCATCAGATCATGGTCAATCAAATTAACAGTATTTAGCAAATTCCTCAAATCGTATCTGGAAGTCCAGCCATGGTTTGACCATTGTACCACCACAATTTCCTGTCTCTATGATTACTGGAAAATGATAGAGAAGTGATTTAAAAGAAAAGCATCTCACTGAATCTCAATAACGTTTCTTTTTGCTTGACAAAAAGAATATGTAAAAACACAGCAGACTTCTGTCAAACATTTAATGATACTTGAAGAATAATTTGCACATGGTGTCTGTTAATGCAAGCTAAAGTGTTATTTCAGTTGTACACACTGACAAATGAAAATCCAACAGAATAAATACACACTTTTCATGAGCGCAAAAAAAAAAAAAAAATCTCTAAATCATCAGCAGTGTATATTTCACAGTGAAAAACGACTATGCCGGTGGTCATAATAATCTATAACAGTTTGTTCATCCTTCATCGTTCACCTCATCAGTATCAGTTCAGATTTACACACACTCTCACCACTTGTTTGTCTTCATCCTACACACAGAAGTGTTTGCGCTCATGTTGTTTTGTCTGTCACACCAACATTTTCTATTTCTGTCATTTTTTGTTTTGTTTTCATTTCAAACCTAAACAATCTTACAGGATTTTTGTTTGGCTTGTCTGCAAAAGGTTTGAAGTGATAGAAGACAAAAAAAAAACGCATTACCGTAAATTCATTACAGCGGCCCGGCAGTATTTATAAACACAGCGAGATGTTGTTTAAAATAGCTGACTTAACAGATTACAGATATAAACTTTTTACAGCGGGAAACGAGTGGCGAAATATGCTGTGTTTACACGGGTGGAGGAAAGGTACACACGCGCCTCCTCGGAGCCTTGAGTGGCACGTTAAAAAATGAAATAAACATTCGATTAAATAAACAAGGGCTGCTTGTGTATGCTTACGTGACAAAGGGCCTTTACCTTCTCTCGGGTGGGAGCGATGGGGTCGAGGAAGGTGTGCGAGAAAGACCTGGACACATAACCTGCAGTCTTCCGCCCTCGGGTGCTGTTAAAGAACCAGTGCAGGATGAGTTTCAAAGCTGTTTTGAGTCTGGATAGAGAAGGAGGGTGGGAGAAAGAAAGGTATATTGTTACAACACTAATAAGAAATGCCTGAAGGCCACTAAAGGGCCTTTTGGCCCTGGAACTAAAGGCTGCATACAAAAGCACTTCTTCAGGGGAAAAGAAAGGAGGATCACGAATCACATTCAATTAAAGAGAGGTTATAGTTAGGGTGGAGAGAGAGGGAGAGGATTGCAGGTACATGCCTAAGCTCGGCTATTTTGTTTGTGTTTGTCTGGCAAGTTTGTTGTTTCTGGTCTCTAGAGGAGAGCGCAGTAAAGCCGTTGCTTTGGGCAAGAGGACTTCCTGATCACCACTTCCGCACATAATGGCTGCCTCTATCCTAACAATGACAGTCCATGCCAGGGCCACCTGCTGAGCAGCAGCATACGACCACAAATCTAATGTCAGACAAAATAACAGCCCCTAATCAAACGCAACTAGTTGCAATCACTATAAACGCAAGTAGAGATTTCATGCCAACCACGAATCACAGCTGGCAAAGGCAGAGCGTGGTTTTCCTTGACAAAAAGCCAAGTGCGTCAGCTTTAGATTCTGATCGTACTTTTAAAGGCACACTATGTCATTTTTCACCACTATAGGTTGTTTATTCGAAACAAAGGCGTAGCTTGATGACGCCTTGATTTGGCGGAAGCATGGGAGTGGTTGCCTTCACCTCTACAGCTGGTGGAGAATATCACGGGACTCAGAAATCATAATTCAGAAATCATATTTATTGATGACCGGTATGTCTTAAAAAGATTTATTCATGTTACAAAAGCCGTTGGAGCGGAACAAGTCCGCTGGAGCGATTGCTAATGAGAAACAAGCACGACACACAGCTCGAAAGCAGTGGGGCTTTTATTATGCCGCAGACGCCGCTTCCGCTTCTTCCGTTCATGCGTATGTGGGGTAATGCTAACGCAGCGCTGTTTTATCATATTAGATACATTTGAGTGTCAAGAAAGTGGTTGTAATGCAACTCTGTGAGTTCGCTCGGCGGCTTCTATATAAGACAATTGTAGCACACTGCAGTGAGCTAGATCGATATTAGGCATGGTAAATATGGTACCCGCGGTAAATCAAGAAAACAAGATTTTAAATAAAAAGAATAACTGTGTTGAGCTATATAACAATGATTCGTTTTCTGTCAATTAATGTATCCAAACAATTGCTCACCTGTCTAATAAAACACATAATATATTAAAGCATCTTTGGTGTTTCCATGGTTTTGGTAATTGAGGGTAATGCGGGTATGATGTCATTGAAATGCGACGCACGGACATGTTACTTGACCTAGTTAAAACTGCTTATTTCTCTGGATTTAAACATTCTTAGAAACACTTGGGATAATGTGAGTACAAAAATCAACAAAATATGAAGAGTTCAGATGCAAAAGCCTCTAAATGCCATTTGAAATTTTCTTCTTTAATGATGATTTTTATCAAACTTGTATATTTAAGTTCAGTAATTTCACTTAAATAATTGCCATTTAAGTGAAAGTACTGAACTTAAATATACAAGTTTGATAAAAAAATCATCATTAAAGAAGAAAATTTCAAATGGCATTTAGAGGCTTTTGCATCTGAACTCTTCATATATAACCTTGTTCTAGTGGTTTTTTGATATTTTGATCCAAAAATCTTACATAGTGTGCCTTTAAGCCAACAAACCAACAATGTAAAGGTAAAGTGTAAATTCTAGGCTGTTAAAATAATCATATCCCAGGTTTTTTGCAGAGGCACAAGTAATGTATTTGTAAGGTTGATTCCCCCTAAAAATGCAAAACTGTGGTAAAAACATGCAACCGACTTGGCGAAAACTGACACAGCAATATTTACTTGAGCAATGGCATTAATGTGGGGCAGGACTAACTGTTTGTCTGACCAATGTGAAATGAGAAATGTATTTAGGGAACCTGTTCAAATGTTTGTGACGCAATCTTTCAATAGAATTGTTTGAGTTACCTTATATTCATGCATAATATAAATAAATAAATTCTGAGGGTCCTACATTAATATTTTATTAGGCAGCATTACTGGTTCAATAGCATAAGTCATAGCTTCGACAAACAGCCTGGAAAATGACCAGGACATACTGATCACAGAGTAAAAGCCCCAGTGGAAGACTGATGATATGTGGGGCTGGGAAAAGAATAGGAGGGAAAACAGACAGGTTGTGCTATGAAAGCACACCCAGCTTTTCACTGTTTAATGTCTCCCTGACATTTCTGCTGCAAGCAATGTCCCCAATCCGTTGGTTTTTTCCCCCCTTCTCCTCCTGCCAACCCAATGGGGACATACTCAACAGATAAGAGAGAAAGAGAGAGACTCATAAGAGAACTAGAATGAGGCAAGATGTGTCTATAACTCAAGCAAGGTTAGATGACCCAGACAAAGTCAGAGGTCAGAGTTCAGCAGGGGGGCAGGGAAACATGTAGCTATAGCTGTGGCTGGATTAGATTTCACTGCAGCCTGGATTCTTTCTTTCATTCTTTGAAGGTTACAGTTGGCTGTTTGTAAAGTGCCTTTGAGAGCAGCTTGATGTGTACAGAGCTTCACAGATGTGGCCCCAAAACACTCGGCAGATAATAAAATAATAACAATAATTGTCAAAAGTGATTTTATAAGGAGGAAAGTCTTAAGTGTTGCATCGGTACATAAAACCTGCATAATAATTACTATTATAAATTGTTGTAGTTGTTATTAGTAGTATTCTTTCTAATATCATTAATAACAATATGTTGCTGTTGTTGTTGTTATTTAAACCACTATGATAGTCATTTATGTTTCTATTATCATTCATTAATAATAATATAACAATAAAAATATAATTAACCCTCTGGGGTTGTTCGGCCCAAATGGACCCGAAGAATTTAAATACATTTTTTTTAAAAATCACAGCTTCCTCGGAATGGTCGAAAATTTGGTGACTTTGTTGGTATTTGGTATTTGAACACCCCAAAAAATTGGGAACAGGATGTGAATAGTCTAAGTGGTTGTAAAAAAAATAGTCACACTTGGGGTGTTCAGCATGGAAAATGAATGGGAAATTGGCAAAAATGTGAATGTGAAAAATGTTTTTGTGCGTACAATCTACAAATCAGCCACGATCTTGAAAAAAGCACACAACAGTGAAGGGGTGAATCTATAAAACATCAAGAGTGCAAAACAGACACATCCAGACACACACACACACACACACACAAACACACTTTTATACACAAACACACCAAAAAATGAAGATTATACATGTGTTTTACATTTTTTAAATGCTCAGTTTGTCCACCAGATGACATCCATCTCATCTCAAAAATTACTTTTATGAGGCCTAGGATTGACTCTAAAATGAAATACAGCTTTAAATTTTTTTTAAAAAAATATATTTTTTTAAATATTTTTTCTATTATGTTCAATGGGGGGAAATTTTGTCATAATTATTGCATTAATACTAATTATAATTTTTTTGTATTTTTGAAATTTTCTCAAAACACCAAAAAAGAAAAGAAAAAATATTATAAAAAACAAGTAAAAAAAAAAAAATCATGATTTTTTTTTTTTTAAATATGAATCCCGCCCTTTGGGTCCATTTGGACCCGAACACCCCGAGTGTGACTCTGAAACGGACAACCACAGAGGGTTAAAATCGTATATTTTCTGTGTTATAATAATAATGATAAATAAGACAAAATAAGGACAAAACCAGGCGCGAGCCTACTAAATAACCGAATTGACTGTCCCATAACAAGCTCAACTTTGTATTACAGACTGTGCAGGTGTAAAGGATTTATGACATGTACAAGAGAAAATTAACTAGCAGTTCAACTGTTTTAGGAAACATCCCAAAGTAAACAGAAGACATTTAAAATCTGGCTGCTTTATTTTATTTTCACAGCATGCGTCTAGCGTGCTCGAGCTGTTTACATATCTGTCACTGCTGTACCTGGTGCGGCCAGGGGTCCATAAACACACTTTACTCTCTCCCCCCCTTTCTTTCTCACATACATGCACCCATTTCTCCCTCCCTAGCCCTTTCCAGGACTGCAAACATTTTAAATAACTCGATCAACCCTAAAACAAATAGAGGTGGAATTGCTACCCTATGTCACATCTGTGTTCTGTTACTGGTGACAGGAAAACGAAGGGGAAAAGGCGGCTGCTCTTGAAAGGCTGCCACTTTAAGGACAAGTTTTCAAAAACACCATTGAGCATGAACGCAATTAGAGCCAATATGCAATGTCGGCAGTGTCATTTTCCCCATAAATAAAAACATTTTGCTTGGGTCCCTCAGGCCTGGGCCAGGAGCATTCTGCTTTTGAAACGGAAGCTAAAGAGGATATGAAAATGAATGGACAGAGCATTCAGTGTGGGATTTTCTGAACAAGGGTGATCAGACTGATCAGCTGACCACAAGGAAAGAGCAGCAGTGTGTGTGTGCAAGCATGCAGCGTGAACTCTGACACTCTGAATCATTGGCCAGATGTAGTTTGGTGTTACACACCCGGCCGGGACTATAAGGATGAGCCGACTCCTCTCTGCTGGACCACGAGATCTTTTAGACAGCAATACTCTGAGGAACCTTTTCAGTACAACGGAAAAATATTTTGATTGACATGACCAAGAAGATCTATTGTTTAGGTCATTTTTGTATTTGTTTTCATTTCTATGTGGCACTTCAGCTTGTATGATGAATAATTGAGGACCATTTTTTTCCCTCAACATAGATTAAATGTTCGCTTTACACTTTACAATACGTATTATTAGATAATGCATTAACTGACAAATATTTCTTACAATGTTTATTCATATTTATTAAAATTAGTTAATAAAAATACAACTGTTCAATGTTAATGTTAGCTCAGGTCCATTAAATAATATTACAGATACATCTTTTAATTTTATATATATATATATATATATATATATATATATATACTGTATGTATTATATCAAATTATGATACAGTATTTATATATATATATATTAAAAG